CTCTCTCTCTCTCTCTCTCTCTCTGTATATCGATCAGTGTCTCTCGGTCTCTGTGTCTGTGTGTCTGTCCCTGTCTCTGTCTGTCTGTCTGTCTGTCAGTCTCTCTCTCTCTCTCTCTCTCTCTCTCTCTCTCTCTCTCTCTCTCTCTCCCTCCCTCTCGCTCGCTGGCTCATTAAACGTCAGTTATTAGATTATTAGACGCTCATCTAAATAAACGGTGACAACGTTACAGATGGGATGCTGATTCCTCTCAGCCTAGGCTGCCGCTGACAGGTAGGATTGAAGTAGTCCTCTTCCTAAATCATCTACATTGTCATTGTGCAATTACAATAGAGCTCCTTGACATGTAATCAAAACATATATTATTTTTAAGTTGCTGTTTCTCTCAGGCTGCTTCAACTTCAACATTCCACCCAGTTGAAAAACAACAACACAAGAAAGAACACACCCATAGATCTATATCTAGATCTAGTCCCAGTAAATTAACCGAGCTTCTAAGTACCTGTCCATTTACCTTGAAGAGAGGCATTACTGTTTGCGAAAAGCTAACCAAGAAACGGTGAACATTACAAGATTGCCAGTTTCATTAGTTTCATAGGCATCTTGCCTGGTAAATTAGAAGAATAGCAATACAAAAATATATACACTCCTGGGGAGTCAGACTAGACAAAGTGTTGTCTATAATTTGGTATAATAGCAGAGTGAGAGTAGCTTTGTCGCACTGCATGGCCAGCTGCTGCAAACTGCAAGCCTTTGTCGCTCCCGTTGTTGCTGCGCATGCGTCATACTGACCTACTTTCGATTTCGGAGAATTGGCAGGGGTGTCGTGCTTCGCACAACAACCTAGTCACAGCAGTAAGAAAGAATACTGTTGTAGTAACGTACTGACTGTGTTTTCTCTTCTCTAATCTCTATCTCGTCTCCCCACTCTGTGTGACTGTTTAGCGCCTTGCTGTGGTATGTGCAGTGGACACACGTCACATGCCTTCAAAGTGCTTCAGCGAGAGGACAAGGAAACGATTCAACGATAGGCCTAGGTCAACTTGAAGTTGAAGTGAAACGACTGTCCCACAAATCAACACACTTCGTCTGCTGACTGATTGCTGAGGTGGGTTATGAGTGCAATGGCCCAATGGTTTCGCCTGTGTTGTTATTGTTATCATAAGTATAAGGCCTAGATTCTGGATCTAGAAATCTAGATCTAGATCTAGATTCTAGTCTAGATCTAGATTCTAGATCTAGAGAGATCTAGATTCTAGTTTTTTCTAATCTAGATTTCTAGAGTATATTATATATTATGATAGATAGATCTAGATCTAGATATCTAGATCTAGAAATCTAGATCTAGATCTAGATATCTATATATAGATTTAGATCTAGATCTAGATCTAGATTTATATATAGATCTAGAATAGATAGATCTAGATCTATATATATATAGATTCTATAAGGAAAATACAAAAAATGCATGTAATACTCCAACTCAGCCTGTTCCATCTAATCTAGAATCTAGATCTAGATTTTAGAAAGTCTAGATTCTAGATCTTGATATCTAGATCTAGATCTAGATCTAGATCTAGAGAAATCTAGATCTATCTAATCTAGATATTAGATTTAGATCTAAATCTAGATCTAGATCCTATCTAGAGTCGAGGTCTAGCTAAGCTAAGCCTAAGGCAATGCTAGGGCTAGATCTAGATTCTAGATCTAGATCTAAAAATCTAGATCTAGGTATCTAGATATAATCTAGATATAGATCTATCTAGATCTCGGGCGGGCTAAGATAAAGTTGAATTTTTGACACTGTTGTTTGAAGTCTGTGAAATTTGGGAAGGACTTCCGTAACGAGCGACCACCACAACAAACACAATAAAGAAGAGACCTTTACCCCTACCCCTAACCCTCTATTCTACTCTGTCTGATAGTGGTCGCTCGTTTTAAAGGAAGTCCTCCTGAAATGGAAATCAGTGTAACTCTTGTTTCTCTGATATCATCATCATCACTACGGACTCCGGGACTACGGACATAGTCTAGTGTTGTTGACACACACCGTAGACACCGTAGTGTTTTATCTCTCTAGGCCTACTCTCTCTCTCTTTCTCTCCCTCTCTCTGTCTCTCTCTGTCTTACTCTTTCTTGTCTCTCTCTCTCTCTCTCTTAGATTACTCTCTCTCTCTCTCTCTCTCTCTCTCTTTCTCTCTCTCTGTCCCAGTGCCTGTGGAGTAATGGTAAGGCTATAAACTTGCTTTTGCACTCAGTAGAAATGAGTTTAATTTGGATTTCCGCCAAGTGTAAACGTTATTGTAAAATCTCTGTCTGTCTGCTGGGACGTTAATTGTAGCCCATATATTGCATCCTTCTCAGCATAGGTTGGCCATGACAATGACAGAGTTAAACCTGCTGTCCCCCTAAATGATCAATTTGTGTACAGTCGAACCTGCCATGACGGCCACCTTATATAATACGGCCACCTTATATAATACGGCCACCTGTACAAATGGCCACTTTCCATTTCCTCCTTGAGTTTTTTCTCTATATTTGTAACAGCGTACAATGGGCACCTGTCCAACACGGCCGCGGCCACCCTATTTTATCAACTGACAACCAAATTTACCTGCCCGAGATGACCAGACTTTGTAGAGAATTATGCATTTTCCCCTGATGCTGTGGACAAGCCGTCATAATTTAATTCTCATCTGTCGTTATGTCAGTCCCTCTGACGGATAAACGGTCATGTTGCTTTGGTCACTCCAAATGTTTACCCAAGTTGACCAATGATTAACAATAAATTTTCAGCTGCTGGTAAAGGAAGCGTGTGATTCGTCATAAGCTATAAGGCCCTCCCACAACTCAGTCTTCAAACCCGGTCCATACTAGTAACAATGGAGGGCAACACAAACTCGCGACAGAAGTGTTGCTCGTTCACCGAGTGGTGGCAACCCTTTTGTTTGTTTTACTTTAGAACTTGGTCTTTCTCGTCTGACACATTTTGTTTTGTTTTGACTGTTCACGGAACTATAATTTTAAAAAAAAAGTAATAAAACCAGCAACAAAAAGTCAAACAAAAACTGTCCTCTCCTCCCCCCCCTCTT